TGCAGCCATAGATACCTGGGGCTGAGGACGGAAACAGTTTGGAGGTGGCTGTCCAGCTTTGGAGAAGGAGAGCTGATGACCGGCGTCTGGCCAGGCTGGGCAGCTTCAGCACTTGAGTCGTGAGCACGGCCCGGGTGGGTGGTGGCGACAGCTGGTGCCCGGGCTGATGGGGCAGTGTAGGCACCTCGGCTGGTGGCCTAGGAGTTCAAGTTGCTTCTGAGTTCAGGCTGTCATCTGGACTCGGAGGAGCTCAAGGAGCCCCAGGAAGCCCTGTAATCCCAGCACTCAGGAGGCTGAGGCAGGAGGCTTGCCATGAGTTCAAGGCCAGCCTGGGCTACATAGTAAGTTCAAGGCCAGGCTGAACTGCATAGTGTAACCCTGTCTCAAAGAAAACAAAAACAAAATGTCTGGGGATGACCTATGCAGAACCTCTTCTCTCCCTGCACTAGGACAGCAGAATCCGACCCTCCTTTCACCTGGAACTCTGGGCCTCCCGTTTGCGTCCTCTGTCCTCTCTGGGTTCCTTCGTCCCTTCGCCTCCCCAGCCCGGTGAAGATGTGCAGGAGCAGAGCACATTTTCTCTTCCTCCCTTTCCCACCTGGCCCAGACACTTTCGCTTTCCCAGCTACTGGAAGGGAAAGGAAGGTTATTTTAGATTTTGGTTCTTTTTTTTTTGTCTGAGACAGGGTCTCGCTATGCAGTTCAGGCTGGCCTTGAACTCACTTTGTAGCCCAGGCTGGTCTCGAACTCGGAAGGATCCTCCTGCCTCAGCCTCTCCAGTGCTGGGATTACAGGCGTGCGCCTCCATGCCTGGCTCCAGTCACCTCTGAAACGTTCCTGCTGGTTTCACCTCTTAGCATTTTGCAGGGGACAAAACATACTGAAACAATGGCACCAAGCCAGTCTGTAAGAGCCATCAAATTCTGCCACTTTATTGCCATTTAGCTGATTGTGGTTCTGTCGTTTAGTTTAGTTCAGTTTAGTTTAATTTTGTTTTGTTTTGAGACAGGGTCTGTGTAGCCCATGCTGGCCTTGAACTCAGGCAGTCCCGCCTCAGCCTCCTGAGTGCTAGGATTACAGGCACACGCCTGTATTTGTGATTCTATCTTTTATCTAGATTGAGGGCAGGGACCTTTCCTTACATTGGCATGTTCCCCACAGTTACTGTATTTGGCGTGTAGATTAATCTTTTTTCCATACTGGGGACTGACGCTAGGGCCTTGTGCATGTGCTTACCAGGGAGCTATAGCCACGCCCCTTTTTAAAAACTGACTTTCAGACAAGGTCTTGCTGCGTTGTTCAGGCTGGCCTTCAACGCGCAGTCCTCCTGCTTCTGCCTCCCAGGTAGCTGGGATTCCGTTGGTTTTTTGGATTATTTTCCCTTTGCAGTTCACGCAAAGGGAGAAGCCATGCAGGCTTGGCAAACAGGAAGAGGGTAGCAGTGAGCGACCCCAGGCTGGCTCCGTTCGTTGCCAAGTCTTGCGATTTGTGAGGCTGGGAGCTGGCGCTGTCCTGGGTGCCACCCTCCAGCTGCAGAAGGACGGGGTCAGCTCCCCCAAAACTGCAGATTTCAAGTGCAGCTTTTGCAGTGTACTCTGACAGCGGTCGTGCTGTTGAGAATTTGTTCTTTGCGTGCTGGGGCTCGAACCCATGGCCTCGTGCGCGCGGGGCCAGCGCCCGGCGTGGAGCAACGGCCTGCGCGCTTCTTCTGCTCGGCCCTTCTCTTCCGAGCTTTCCCACACCTGATCGCGGCGGGGCGCGGAGTGCCCATCACCAGCACGCAGGGCTGGCGGACTCCCGCTTGTGCCCTTTGGCAGCCCCGGGTTTCCGGCGCGCTGCTCTCGCCGAGCCCTGAGCCGGGCCCTCGGCAGCTGCGGCTGGCGTCATCCTCTCCAGGCGGCGCCCGGGCGGGGCGCTGGGCTCTGAACCCGGCCGGGGGCTCCACGCTCTCGCTGCGCTGCACCCGCGCTGGAGCTTGCGGGCCGGGAGCCAGGCCTGGATCCGCTGCGCTGCGCCGCCGAAGCCGGCAGAGGCGGGCGGGGCGCGGGGGAGAGGGGTGCAGGCGCTCTGGGCTGGCGGCTTCTGGGAAGCGTCCTGCGACCCAGATCTTGGGGTGCAGTCCTGCGGCTGCGCAGTGGTGCGGGAGCGCCCAGCCCCGCGGCCACCAGCCCGGGCCCTCGGGTGCCCAGAGGCCCGCACAGGTGACTCGAGGCGGCCCTGCCTCCCCACAACAGCACTGTTAAGAGGCCGGGTCCGCGCAAAGGGCCTCAGGAGGCCCCGGCGCAGCGCAGGGTGGGCAGGGACAGAGAAGAGCGCACAGGTGCTGGCTGCTTGGAATAGAATCAGCTCTTTGCGATTCGCCGAGGTCCTCCTGTGAGTCCAGGAGCCTTTGGGCCCGGGTTAGGCCTCTGGAATCTGGTGATCTGGGTGCGTTCAGCATTCACGTAGTTGTGGGGAAAGTTCGTTGTTCACGTGTATAAACAGGACACTAGCAGAGCAAGGGTGACGGTACTGTGTCATGTGTGAAATCTTTCCAAGCTAGGCGCGGTGGTGCACAGCTGTAATCCCAGCAGTTGGGAGGCTGAGGCAGGAGGATCGCCAGGAGTTCAAGCCCAGCGGGGCTACCTAGAGAGACCCTGTCTCAAAAAAACAAAACAAAAAAATCTTGCCTACCAAATAGTAAGTACTGAAGACAGCTGTTCATTTACTGTCACAGTTCAGTCTGAGGTGTTGAAACACAGATATGTGGACTCCGGAACAAAAATGTATAGCAGCGGAAAGCAGCCAGAGAAGAAGTGGTAACACAGGTGGGGACAGTTAATCGAGTGTGCGTAAGTTACTAATCGCTGTAGAAATTCAGAAGCGGGAGAAGGGACTTCAGCTCGGATGGCCAGAGTAGATTTTATGGAAAAGCTGGAATGTAGGTTGGACTTTGGGGGACCAGAATAGCACAGAAGGTGGACCCCATCTGGACAAGCAGGTGGACAGAAGCTGGGAGGACTTGAGCTCAATGAAGCTCCAGGGTCACTGCTGGGGGAGGTTCTCATGCTGTGGTAGGAACCTGGCGGCACCGTTTCCATGTACGCTTCAGCTGCAGAGCACTGTCCCAGGTGCGGGTCGGAGCAAAGGCCCAGCATGGACATGGCCCTGCAGAGCTGGGCCCCAGCGGGTTTGTGTTCCCGACGCCCTGACTGCCTCCTCCACTCTCTCCCTGCCTCCCTGGGTTTCATTCCCCTCACCCGCAGTTCTGTCTCTGTGTCACTCTCAGCCGCTAGTTCATACCCTCCCATCACTGGGTCTCTTTCCTCCCTAGAGCAGGGCAGGTAGATGCTCTGGACACTACCTACATTCATTCATTAATTAATCTATTTATAAGCAAAGAGTAGTGGCCAATGCCTATAATCCTAGCTAGCTACTCAGGAGGCTGGGGCAGGAGGATCAAAAATTCAAGGCTAAAGGCCGGGCGTGGTGGTTCACACTTATAATCCCAGCACTCAGGAGGCTGAGGTGGGAGGACCACTGTGAGTTTGAGGCCAGCCTGGGGTACATAATGAGGCCTTGTCTCAAAAAAAAAAAAAAAAAAAAAAAAGTTCCAGGCTACTCTGGACCACTTAGTGAGCCTGTCTCAAGGTTGGTAGGTAACTCAATGGTACAGCACTTGTGTAATATTTGTGAGGCGCAGAGCTCAATCCCCAGTCCTGCCAAAAAAAATAAATAAAATTAAAAGAAGAAGGAGACAGGGGGAGGATGAAAGGGAAGGAGAAGGAAAGAAGAAACCCTGAATAGGAGCCTATGGTTGATGTTACCTGGCCATGGTGGGGCAAATCTGTCGTTTTATGCAGTGCTGGGCCTGAACCCAGGGCGTCACGAATGCTAGGCAAGGATTCTTACCAGTGAGCTACGTCCCTGGCCCTTAGTGTGTGCGCGTGTATGAATTTTTCATCATCCCAGTAACAAAGAACGTTTCTCACTTCTAAGACAAAACAAAAACCCTAATCCCCAAAACCTCTCCGGGCTCCTCAGTAACAAAGGTGGGGAGGCCAGGAAGACAGAGCGGTGGTGTCAGAAGGAAGTGGATGTGCCCAGTGTGCCAGGGCCCCCCAGGCTCCCTGCGTGGGGCGGGCATCACTGGGCAGGGGTGCGGGTGGATCAGCTCTGGATGGAGAGACATCGGGGTTCTGCCCCTGCCTCTGCCAACCATGCAGCTGGGGGCCAGGCAAGCCACAGAGCCTGGGCCCGTGTTGTCATTTCCAGCCCTGGCTTCCTGCCTGTCACCTTCCTGTGTCATGTTTGGGATCATCTCCATGACAGAGGGCTTTCCAGCTTCACTGTGTGTCTTTCTTGTGTGTTTTTCTTTTTCCGTCTTTCCCCTTTGAATTTCCACCCTAGAGCGGCAGCCCTAAGAAGCCCCGCCATTTGCATGCCGGGTTCCCAGTGCCGTCAGAGTCACGGGGACAGAGCTGCTGGGGGCAGGGGGAGGATGTGGCAGCTGGGTCGGCTGGGGGTGGCGTTGCTCCCCACAGGGTCCTGGGAGAAGGGACTCAGCATTTCCTGGAGCTAGGCGACTCCCATAAATAGACCAAGGGGTGGGAATGGATTCAGGCATCCTTTTCCTTCTGTCAACTCAGCTCTTCCTTCTGCTGGTCAGACGATTGCGCGTCCTGTCGTAGATGGCTTTTGTTCATGTGTCCCTGCCTGTGGGAGGTGGGGACGTGGATCTGCTTTCTCATATATTGTAGCCCAAAGCAAGAACGGAAGAAGACACACATGCCTTTCATTGTTCATTTACCCACAGGGCCGGGTGTAGTGGCGCACGCCTGTAATCCCTGCACTCGGGACGCTGAGACAGGAGGATCGTTGTGAGTTAGAGACCAGCCTGGGCTACAAAGTGAGCTCAAAGCCAGCCTGAACTTCAAAGTGAGACCCTGTCTCAAAAACACAAAAAAAGAAAAAAGTTTCATTTACCCACATGAACTTTTCAGTTCAGCATAAGCCAGAGGTTTTTTGGTACTGGGATTGAGTCGAGGGTCTTCACACAGAATCTTTTTGTTTTGCTTTCTTCTCTTCTTTTCAACACAGGTTCTTGCTAGGTCCCAAATTGCCCAGGCTGGCCTAAAATTTGAGATCCTTCTGTCTCAGCCTGCAAAGCAGCTGGAATAACACGTCTATGCCACCACACCCAGCAAAGCTGGAGTTTTTCAGTGGGATTTTATTGGGAAAGAAGGCAGTTGCACATTTGGTAGCATGGCCTAATTAACTTCATCAAAGGGTTCAACATATCTTCTACTGTAAGGTTTATATGTGTTCCCAGATCCTCAGAAAGATTGGGTCTCATGAGATCAGCCTTTACTAAGCCTTCAGATGTTTGGATGTTCTGAGCGCCTCCACTGTTACAAAGAGCCTTTTCCCTGAGGAAAAGGACTTCTTGAGACTTGATCTTGTGACCTCGATAGTGTGGAAAATGAGCAAATCACACTCAACCTCCTGTACAAGCTGGAGACAAACCAAACCGAGCCGGACATCAGTTTTCTCAGGAGCCAGAGTTGCTCGGCTTCAGTCATAAAGATGCAGATTTGTATTCAAAGCAGGGACACAGACACAACCTTCCTTTTTTACCTTGACAAAGAAGTTGTACACAGACTGAATGTGACACTGCGTGTTAGCAAAGAGTCCTTCGGTTGTTGTTTTTTATTTAAAGTACAGAGATAATTGTGGAACCTATGGGCCGGAATGCAGCTTTGTGCCTCAACATCTTAGATCAAGAGTGCAGAGCCATCTTGCACCTGGCGTCGTTGTTGCCGTCCCCCACTGCACGGGCCTTTCCGTGTTAGCCCATGGGATGAAACATGGCTGCCTTACTCGGAGAGGCAGTGTTTCTGGTTCTGACTGGTCGCTGTGGCAGGAGTGAAATTTGATTGGTTGGATGTGAGCCAGCCCTCCCTTAGAGCCAATCAGCTGTGGCATGGGGGGTGTGGCCTCACATCTCAAATATGGCTGCCCATGTCCTTGTGAGGAGTGGATGAGGGAAGGGGCAGAGTACCGTAAGTGAGGCTTCTGGTGAGGTAGGAAAGCTCCGCATGCTGTGGTCTGTGTCCCACCACTTGTGCTTTGTTTCTTAAGCTATTATGCGTCCATCTGCCTAACCTCTGTACTCAGGAATTCTAGTCCTAAGGTTCACTTGCTAAATACTTTGATATAAAATACAAAGTGCGCCAGGCGTGGTGGTGCACGCCTATAATCCCAGCACTCAGGAGGCTGAGGCAGGAGGATCGTTGTGAGTTCAAGACCAGCCTGGGCTACAAAGTGAGCTCAAGGCCAGCCTGAACTGCATAGCGAGACCCTGTCTCAAAAAAGACTAAAAAAAAAACAAAACAAAGTGCTTGTGGAGGTAGTGGTATAGTAGTGAGGGCTTTGGGGCTAGGCAAAGGTCTTAATGCTTGGTGATATTTGTTAGCCACATGCCTCCGTTTCTTCTGTAAAGTGAAGCTGATGTTATGTGCCAGTCCACTGTTAGATGCCAGGTGTTAGGTAGACGCCTGCCTGCTTTGTCTTTTTTTCTAATCACTTTATTGAGATGTGATTCATATACAGTAAAAATTCATCCATTCAGAGTGTACAATTTAGCCGGGGATATAGCTCAGTGGCATAGGTGCCTCCCTGGTAAGCGCAAGGTTCTGTGTTAAATTCCAGAACCAAAAAAAAAAAAAAAAAAAAAACCCAAAAGTGTACAACTGAGCCAGGCATAGTGGTGCACTCCTGTAATCCCACCACCCAGTAGAGGCTGAGGCAGGAGGATCGTTGTGAGTTTGACACCAGCCTGGGCTACAAAGTGAGGTCGAGGCCAGCCTGAACTGCATAGAGAGACCCTGTCTCAAAAAGACAAGAAAGAGTGGCTGGGGATTTAGCTCAGCGGCAAAAGCGCCTGCCTGGCAAGCGCAAGGTCGTGAGTTTGGTTCCCGGTATCAGAGAAAAACCAAAAACCAAAAAAAAAAAAAAAAGACAAGAAAGAGAGAGAGACAGACAGACACAGACAGAGGAGAGAGAGAGAGAGGAGAGGAGAGGAGGAGGGGGAAGAAAGAAAGGAAGGAAAGAAAGAAAGAAAAGTGGCACAGTATATACTTAACATGCATACACAAAGGAGTTTTATTTTAATTCAAGCCAAACCATTTTATTTATTTATTTATTCATTTATTTATTTTTATTGTCATGCTGGGGATTGAACACAGGGCGCTTACACTGAGCCGCATCCCCAGGTGTTTTTATTTTTTATTTTGAGACGGGGTTTTTTGCTCAGTCTCCAAGTTTCCCAGACTGAGCTCATACTTGTGTTCTTCCTGCCTCAGCCTCCCAGAGTGCTGGAATTATAGGTGTGCCCCACCACAGCTGGGTTCTTAACAGTACTTCCGCAGCAATAGCATATTTCATAACTTTTGTCCTCAGAGCAGGGACGCCAGTCCTCACCAAGCCTTAACCGGATTGGACTGAGTGCCTAACCCCGCCCCCCATACGGTAGTTCAGTGTTCACAGCCAAGAGGGCTGTGCATTTGTTTTTACCCCCAACCCAGGGTGAGTCCAGCGGCAACACGTGGGAAGGCATCTTTACACTGCCAACGAGTGAGGGGAAAAACATGATTTGCAAATATAAGGTGAGAAATGTGTTTGCGATGCTATGGAAGAGGACGAGCGCTCCTGGGCTTAAAAAAGTGACCGCAAGGGCCTGTCGCTGCTTCCGGCCTGGGGAGTGTGGCCAGTCCTTGTGCTCAGCCTGCAGGGGCTGCCTCTGTGAGACACAGGAAGTCAGAGGTCAGGGAAGTGCTGCGCAGGCAGCTCAGAGAAGCGGCTCTGGTCTTCCCGAGGAATCCCAGCAACAGGAAGTCTTCATGGTCCTCCAGTTGGCCTCGGCTTGGGAGTGCAGAGGATGCTTGCTGTGGACGCTGCTTTCGGGAAAGATCGCGGAGCAGCATCGTAGAGCCCTTGCCTGTTTAGCGATCCAGCCCTTTCCGCCCACCTCCTGCCCTGGAAACCGCTGATCTGTCACTTTGTACCTGCCTATCCTGGACCCTTCATGGCAGTGGAGCCCCGCAGTGCAGTATGTGGCGTAGGTGTCAGGCTTCTGTGCATGGTGTGCTGCCCTGGTTCCTCCTAGGTGCGGCCAGTGACATACTCCATTCCTCCGGCAAATTCCATTGCATTCCGTTGCGTATACCCACCCCCTGTCATTTATCTGTGGGTCCACTAATGGACATTTCCTCAGAGCATTTTTTGGATAAATCACTCTTTGTGAGCCAGGTGTGGTGGCACACACCTATAGTCCCAGCACTTGGGAGGCTGAGGCAGAGGGATTGCTGCTATATAGTGAGCTTGACCAGCCTGAACTCCATAGTGAGACCGTGTCTCAAAACAAATAAACAGCACTTGGGAGGCTGATGCAGGAGGACCGTTGCAAGTTCAAGACCAGCCTGGGCTACAAAGTGAGCTCAAGGCCAACCTGAACTGCATAGTGAGACCCTGTCTCAAAAAGACAAAAAAAAAAAAAAGATTATTAGTAATAATTAAACCCATCTGGTAACTAGGAAGTTCTGTTTTTGTGGAGAGCAATTGAGTGAGAAAATGTGTTATTACTATTCATTATTTCATTACCCCTCTTGGCAAACAGAATCACAAGGCTGGGGGCTGGGGATTTAGCTCAGCGGCACAGCACCTGCCTGGCAGGCACAAGGTCATGAGTTCGGTTCCCGGTACCGGAAAAAAACAAAAAAACAAACAAACAAAGAAGAATCACAAGGCCAAATTACCAAGGCAGAAATAAAGAACTCTGGGTTGTGCAGAAATCATTTAAGCTGGGGCTGGGGATTTAGCTCAGCGGCACAGCGCCTGCCTGGCAAGCACAAGGTCGTGAGTTCAATTCCTGGTACTGGAAAAAAAAAAAAAAGAAATCACCTAAGCTTTTGATTTGCTGTGTTTCATGAAGATTCCAGAGTGATCTCTCACAGTTGGTTCTGGGACATCGGAAGGTATCCAGGAGTCTTTGTGTCCAGTGGGCTGCACTTTGAGAAACAACTGTCTCCCAAATCTATAAAATGGTGATAAAGTTTATCCCAGGATTTTAAGACAGAGTCCTCCCAACTAGCGAGTGAGGTTAGGCTGGTATCCTAGTTACTTTTCTCTCATTGTTGAGACAAAATACCCAACACCCAAAATTAAGGAAGGAAAGGTTTATTTAGCTCACAGTTTGTGGAGGTTTCAGTCGATAATCAACCGGCTCCAAGGCAGGGTGGCACATGGCACAGGGGCAACAGTTAAGGTGGCAGAAGACAGCAACACAGCAAGAGATTGAAAAAAAAAGGGAGAGCAAGCCTGTTTTCATCCCTGATAGTAAATGCAGGCTACCCGCCCTAGGGCGGGTGTAGCACTCACACCATCTCCTTGCCCTCCTATTGCAGACTCAGGATGTTTACAAAGTGAGGACCCTGGCCCCCTGCTGCGTCACTTAGTCAACCTTCTAAACTTCTCCAGCTGACACAGTGAACAACTGTTCTAGGAGTCTACTTACTCCTAGAACAGTAAGGGCGTGACCTCTGAACACAGGATGTAGAACTGCTGAGTTACTTAGCTAAGCATCCCACAACAGCTTGTCACCTCATTAATGGTTTTTAGTCATTAGAGGCAGAACTGGAAAAGACACCTTTTAATGGGAGCAGCCTTTTCCTCGCTGAGTGTGCAGGAACGGTGTCCCCTCACTTTTAGTGTCTTTATTTTTGGAGACAGGGACTTGCTATGTAGCTCAGGCTGGCCTTGAACTCATGGTGATCCTCCCGCCTCAGCCTCCCCAGTGCAGGGATTACAGGAATGCACCATCACTCTGACTCACTTGTAGCTTCTGCGCCCCCTCACTGCTGGCCTTTGAAGCCCACTGGTGCCTCCTCTTGGAAATCACATCCCCAGTTTCGGGGGAGCCCACGGCTCTTACTAGAAGTCTGTCCATGGATGGGCAGCAAGGTGGCTCGGCACCGTGTTGGAAGCTGGGCTGGAGCCATCTCATCCTCGAAGTCTGCGTGCGTCTCTGTGCGTGAGACCCGGGCGCTCTGTCCTTTCGGGAAAAAGCCGTGCTTCCTTAGACGGCTAGGGAAGTGGTCCCTGGGGGGACAGTGGGGCTCCAGGCTGTCTGGTGCTCTTCCTGGTAGAGAAGACCACGGCTCTCGTCTTTGCACTCCCAGTCACCTGCACACAGCTGACACCTTGTCCGAGAGGTGATGGAGGGTCACTGGCCGCAGGGAATGGTGCCCCGCCGGCTTGGTTTGTGTGGCCCGGAGTGTAGACCACACTGGGCAGGAGCGGGCGTGGCTGTGCCCCTTGATGTCTCGGGCGCCCTGCCAGCCGAGGACAGAAGAGCCGTGTCTGTGAGCCCGGCGGCATGGGCAGGCTGCAGAGCGTTCAGCTGTGCCCAGCGTTGTGAGGGAGGACAGTGGGCTCCCGCGGCCCCTCCCCAGGCCCCCGTGGGCCGGCCCCGTCATCCTCACGCTGGTTCCTTCAGCCCTGTGCTCTGCAGTGTGCTACGCTGAGCACCCCTTCCTACCTCTCCGTTCCCCAGAGTTACAAGCGTGTCTCAGAGCCCAGCCCTCTGATCTCCTGGCAGCTCGGGTGCTCGGACCAGGATGTTGGCAGCCTCACCTGGCAGGTGAGCATCTGGAAGAGGTGGAAGGAACTTGCAGTCCCCACGGGGATACTTCCGCCTTGTTCCAGAGACAGGAAGAGCCGCCCTCTTCTTCGGGGACTGCTAGCTCACCACCGTGGTTCTTAGCAAGCTGGAAACAGGCTGTGGGGCTTGTAGCCATGTTTGGCTTTCTTCCGTCGTGGCGGCCTCTGCGTTTTCTTGGTTTTGCTTCCTTGGTGTCATAACCACAGACTGAAAGTTCAGTATAGGAGATGGGATGTTTTCAGAGAGCGAGGGAGGGAGATCACGTTCATCAAACTGCTTTTATAGCATGTTGTTATAACCATTTGATCATTAGTTATTCTTGCTGATCTGTTGCTGTGCCTCATTTTTTTTAAGAGCAGAAAGAAGGGGCTGGGGATTTAGCTCAGCGGCAAAGCGCCTGCCTGGCAAGAGCAAGGTCGTGAGTTCGGTTCCCGGTACCGGAGAAAAACCAAAAAAAAAAAAAAAAAAAAAAGAGCAGAAAGAAAACTGAGAGGAAGAAAGCTTCTGTCTAAGAGGGACACAAGGGGTCCTGGAAAGTGAGTTGCCCACCAACCCTGCCTCTCAAGGGTGTTTATTGAGCCAAAACACTAGGTGAGGTGGGTTTAAGGTGGGGCAGAACTATAACCAAGCAATAAGATTACAAGTATAGCGATTAGGTGATAATGATCCAATGGAAGATCATAGGATAGCTGGGATAAAACTATGGTCAACCAATAAGATTACAACAAGTGTAGTTGCTTGGGTAATACTGATTAAGTGGGGATCAAATGGGGAAACAAGTCACACCGGGCAGAGGAGGATTTTCCTGGAAGGGGTGGGTTAGGGAGGTTTGGTCCTCCATCCCAAGGAAATGGATGCCTATTTAGTCACTCCTGTTCATCTCTAGGGAAAGTACATGGATGAATAGTTTCTCTATTTCTTGAAGCCTGGCTTTCAGTGAATATGCCTCCAGCCACACCTGTCTTCTGCACTGACCTCTCGAGGGCCCAGCCCTGTCTGACTGCCTACAATATTTCTACCTAACTTAGCTACCTATAATACTACTCTCTCTGAAGAGGTGCCCCTGACCGCCGTGAGGAGGCAAGGGGCGAAGACTGACCTGGCTACTTCCAGCTGAAGAGGGTCATAGTTGTAATCAGCGGTCAGAGAGAGTCCACAGAGGGTCTCTCTGAAGGCCCTTGATAGGCACCAGGCATTCTTGTCCTGGGTAGATAGATGTACAGCTTTAAGGCTGGAGGAGACAGAGCCACAGAAACAAGTGTGCATAGGCCAAATAATAAGACCCACAGGATAATTACGGATATAGTCAACAAAGCTTTCTATAAAGACGGCAAAGAGAAGACCCAGGGAATTGCAGAACCTGACATGTTATTAACCTGTCGTCTTATATCTTAAATAGCTATTGAGATTTTAGCAGAAGAATCAGGAATGTATGCGTAACACTTAGCTTTTATAATTGCTTAAGTACTCCCTTGAGCTGCTGCTAGAATGTCTAATGTCCTCTAGTTTTGGAGGACAGCTTGCCTTATTAATTTTGCTTCTTCATTTAGGAGAGAGAGTCATTTAAGGTGTCATTCAAGGCCTGCTGAATATATTTAGTTAAGGCTTTGATAGGTCTTATACTCTTCTCTCAACAAGGTCGGTGTGGTGGATTCCAGTTCAAGGACTCTGGCATATTTGTCCTTGGTTTTATCTGTATGTTCACTTGAAGTTTGGCAATCTCTAGGCAAGTAATTAAACAAGTTTTTAAGAAATTAAAGCAGGTATAATTAAAGCCTGAGCACTAGGGCTGACAGGTGGGTCTAGAAACTGTTTTAAGGGACTGGAATAGCAATTGTAGCCCATTGGCTCTTAGACCCCTCTACTGATAGTGTCCGATGTTTGTCAGAAGTCCTTCCACTTTTTTTTTTTTTGTCTGTTTGAGACAGGAGGATCGTTGCAAGTTTGAGACCAGCCTGGGCTACAAAGTGAGCTCAAGGCCAGCCTGAACTGCATAGTGAGACCCTGTCTCAAAGAGACAAAAAAAAAAAAAAAAGATTTCTTTTTTTAAAAATTATTTCTTAATGTAAAGAAAGTTCGAACATAAGGCAACTTTTACCATTTTCCTTCTTTCCTATAGTATGATTCTACTTGTACACTAGCATCGTAGTTAATATTTCCCTTTGCATTCCGTTTTGGCTCTAGAAGGTAGGCAGGTCACGTGCGTGTACAGAAAAATATCAAACGGCTCGTTTTCAACACGTAAGGGTCGAACACCTTCTAGTGCTTAAGAATGCATTCCAAAGGAATAGGAGCCTTTGACACTGAGTTCCCCAGGTCTCTGACCAGTGATCTCAGTGGAAGACCTCCAAACGATAGAGGGGAAGTATAATCTCCAATATGCTAGATGTCCAAAACGCCGAGTTTGTGTCCTTTACAATCAAGGAATGAGGGGCTGGGGATTTAGCTCAGCGGCAAAAGCGCCTGCCTGGCAAGCGCAAGGTCGTGAGTTCGGTTCCCGGTACCGGAGAAAAACAAACAAAAAAAAAACAAAACAAAACAAAACAAAAAAAACAACAAAACAATCAAGGAATGAATTCTAGGAACAACGAAGTTTGAGTAGGAAAAATTTATTGAGAGAAAGAAAGCTTCTGTCTAAGAGGGACAGAAGGGCCCCAGAAAGTGGGTTATCCACCATGCCTCATTCACACATTAAACTCCATCACAGGCTCCTAGGCATAAGAAGAAAATTCTACATAGAGTTCAGTTCCATCTGAGGTTTCAGGCATGGAGGGGTGCCCTGGGGAATATGGAGGTGAACATGGTTTTTTGTTTGTTTTGTCTTTTTGAGACAGGGTTTTACTACGTAGTTCAGGCTGGCCTTGAACTCACTGTGTAGCCCAGGCTAGCTTTGAACGCTGAGTGATCCTCCTGCCTCAGCCTCCTGGGTGCTGAGATTACAGGAGTGCACCACCATGTCCACCGCTAGGTATCGTGTTTCCTTACAGTAGGTTGGTGACCTTGGCTAAGACACATCAAAGGGGTTGAGGGGATCTGAGGCATCGCAGCCCCCTCCCTGGGCAATGCCTTCCAGCCTGGATGAAGTCTGGAATCTGTTGGGATAAATGGCGTGGCATGGGCTTTCCAGGAGGGAGGCCTGGCTGGCATGGCTCACCCAGTGCATCCTTGTCCCCAGGCCACCCTGACGTCCTCGCAGTGCTGACGCAATGACTATACGCAGTTCTGCCAAGGGCAGCCACGGCCAGACCAGAGACCTGAGGCACGGATCGGCCGACAGGTAAGACCTTGTCCCTGAGGACAGAGACTGACCCAGCCGCTGAGCTTCTGAGTCTCCCCCTTTCACTCTCCACCGCCTCCCCCTCCCACGCCTCCCCTCCTAACCACACTTCTTTCAGCTCTAGAGGGGTCATTCTGCTTCCTTTTTTTTTTTTTTTTTTTTTGTCTTTTTGAGACAAGATCTCGCCATGCAGTTCAGGCTGGCCTTGAACTTACTCTGTAGTCCAGGCTGGCCCTGAACTCTCAGCAATCCTCCTGCCTCAGCCTCCCAAGTGCTGGGATGACAGGTGTGCGCCACCACACCTGGCTCCTTTTTGGTTTTTTGAGGCAGGCTTTTGTATTTGAGGCAGGGTCTCATTATGTAGCTCAAGGTGAACCCATTGTGTAGCCCAGGCTGGCCTTGAACTCATGGCAATCCTCCTGCCTCAGCCTCGCAAGTGCTGGGATGACAGGCATGTGCTGCCATGCCGGATGAGGAGGTGTCATTCCCATGGCTTCCTGTAGATCATCTTCCTGAGGTGCTCTTACCTAACACTGGAAACCTAGCTGGTGAAGAGAAGGCCGTGTGTTGTCACAACCCAAGGCCATGTCCCTACTGTGCCTGCCAGCTGGGCTTGTGTTTAGCTTATCGCTGAGCCTGAGTCTGCAGCGGTGGGAATCACCACCCAGCGGCAGTCTTCCCATCCTCCGCCCCCAGAAGGAGCCTTTCCTCTGAGCCTCTCGCAGTCTGCACGGCAGCCGACAACCACGAAGCCGACGAAAGCTCTGCCCAGACCGCAACCTTTAGGGTCGTGGAATTCTGGGATCAGGCCCTCTGGGACGGCCTGAGCACTGCAGCCACAGGGAAACGCGTTGTGTCCCCGGCGACACCCAAAACCATTTCGCCACCTCACGCCTTGCCTGAGCTTGGTGAATCCAGCGTGGCCTACCTTCCAGCAAACCATCATTGGTTCGGCCTCCGTTTCCAGCTGGGGCCTTCGTGATGATGAAGTCTCTGCAGGTGTTTGGGCTCTCGGGCGTGACTGGCGATCCCGTAGCACCAGCTGCCGTCTGTTGGCAGGAAGGGTTGTCGTGTGGGCTGTGCTTGGGACGTGCTGTGTCTGCTAACTCTTCCGTTCGCCCACCGCCCTGTGCCTATTGGCTCGCTGCTGTGTGCCAGAACAGTGAGCACGGGCAGGTCAGCCTCTGAGCTGATGAGCGGGCTCCTGTTTGAAGAAATAAAACAGGAGACAAGTCCACATCCCTCTGAATGGAAAGCCCATGCATTTATCTCCTGCGCATTACTGCCTCCTAGCAGCACCCGACATCAGCATTCTATAATGTTATCACCGTCCCCAAGCGTGCACTCACTAGCTGGGACATCTGTCCCCTTTACGTCTTGCTTCTGGCACTGAGAGCAGGGGCCGTGAGTTCAGCCCTTCGGACCCTCAGGAAAATAACCACAAACTGATTGTGACTCGGGCTGAAATCTAATTCATGCTAGTGGCATCTGCGGTGAGAGGACAGTCCTATAAGCCTCTCTCTCCTGCACGCTCTGTTACGAATCCTAATTGTTTATTTAAGAAAGGAAGTCTGCATTGATAGCCGTGGAAAATGTGTTTGCAAGAAAAAGGTGTGTTTGCGTTTTCACAAGTTCATAATTTACGCTAGGCAACCAAAAAACAGCAGTGTGATTTGGGTGCCAACGTCTCCATGGAGGGGGAAGCCGAGACATAAACAGCCATTAAGTCTTTGGGCTGGAGAGCTGCAGTCACAGAAAGCACAAACTTGCCAATTGTCATCTTGCTGTGTGCTTTCTTGGGGCTGCACAATCACTATACAATCACGCCTCTCTCTGTATGTAGAAACCACCCCCCACCCTGAGGGGTTGTTCTCTGTGTGTGTACTAAACTCACACATTTAAAGTCCCTGTGGGCCGGGTGTAGTGGCTCACACCTGTAATCCCAGTACTCAGGAGGCTGAGGCAGGAGGATCGCCATGAGTTTGAGGCCAGCCTGGACTACAGAGTAAGACCCTGTCTCAAAAAACAACAACAACAAAAAAACCACACAAAATAATTTCTAGGATTGGAAGTGTAGCTCAGCAGTAGAATGCTTGCCTAGCATGTATGAGGCCCTGGATTCCATCCCCAGCAACGCACGCATGCGCACACACACACACACACACACACTAAATTCCAGCTCTTTCTGGCACTAATCAAAATCACACGTGGAGCAGTAGATCTCCACGTGTATGTTCTAGACCATTGCTTTCTACAATTTGGGAAATACTTTACTCTGTCCACTACAGTAGCTGTTAGCGGCAGGCAGGGGCTGCTGAGGACTTGACTGGTGACCAGGGAATCTAAGGCCAGAAGCTTTAGTTCAGTTATTTTTCAGTTCAGTAACTAGTGGTGACCGTCTGACAGTGCATCTCTGGGCCAAGAGTGAAACCCGAACCTCCCTGCTCTGCCAGCCTTGTTCTAGGTCGGGAGGGAGGGGGCCAAATAACAAAAGGATCCCTGCTCTGGGAGGACTCAGGCTTCCGAGGACGCGCCCTTGAAGATCAGCCTGTCACTGTGGCTTTACCCCTCACTCACATCAGAAGTGTTGCAGCCCAGCATTAGCGACCACTTCGTGACTCATGCTGGCTTAGTTTGTAAGCGGTCATTGTGAAGAACCACTGCTAACCGGGCGTGATGTGCTCTCCTGTTAGCCCAGCACTCTGGGAGGCTGAGGCAGGAGGGTTGTGAGTTCAAGCCTGGCCTGGGCAACTTAGACGCTGACTCAAAAAATTAAGGAGAAGTAGGGGGTAGGGATGTAGTTCAGTGCAAAGGCCCTGGGTTCAGTCCCTAGTACCACACATATTCAAGTGTGCATACACACACACACACACACACACACACACACACTCTAGATAAGAAAAGCAGGGGAAACCTCAATTATACAACCTTTTACCTCATGAACTTTTATTTTTATTAGAGGAAAAACTAATGATGATAGTTGCCCTTTATTTTATGCTCAGGACATGTATAGGTGCTTTATTCAGGCTGGTGCATTCAGTGTTTCAGGGCTAACATTTTATTTGTTAACTCTTTACTCTTCCTGGGGATTGAACCCGGGACCTTACCTGTAGAAGGCAAGCACTGTACCACTGAGCTACATCCTCGGCTCCTTTAAAACACATTTAACTTTTGTGATGGGGCTTGCTAAATTGCTCAGGCTGGGTTCCAACTTGTGACCCTCCTGCCTCAGCCTAGGAAATACCTGGGATTACAGGCGTGCACCACCATATCTGGCTTTGGCAGCCTTTTTAGATGTGTATTATTATCGTTCACCCCATGTAGCAGAGAAGGAAGTTGCAGTTTGGTGGACTTACCTCGCCCAAGGCACACCCCTGGTGAAGGCTGGACTTGGGATCAGATCCAAGTCTACTGGACTCCAAAGTCTAATTGTTCCCTTCCTCCCCCTTGCTCTCTCCCCGGAAAAATAGAAGGCAACATTTTTCTTTTCAACGCAATGTTAGCCGGGCATGGTGGCCCCCGCCTGTAATCCCAGCACTCGGAAAGCTGAGGCAGGAGGATCTTTGCAAGTTCGAGGCCAGCCTGGGCTACAAAGTGAGCTCAAGGCCAGCCTAAACTGAATAACGAGACCCTGTCTCAAAAAGACAATAACTAAGTAAATAACTTAATTAATTAAATAAAGTAAAACGCAATGGCTTGGGGTCTATGAGGCCCAGCCAGTGGGTTACTAGTTACAGCCCCGGTCTCATGAATCTCTGCCAGTAGCCCCCTCTCTCTCTGATGCAGGAGCTAGGCACGAGGTGCGAAGGCCGAGGAAGCCCCTCGAAGGCGGCGGCCCGGGCCCCTGGTCCCCTTCCCGGAGGCCATCCGGAGTGGCCGGTCTGCGGGAGCGCCCGGGGTGCATCCCCGACCCGGAGGCGGAGGCCGAGGCGGCGGTGGACATGCTGGGC